CGTGCCTGCCTCTTGCGCGCATGGTAAGCTCGACTAGCGGCGTTCTTGAGCTGCCTAGCCACTTCCGCATCATTCCCGTCCCCTTCAAGTGATTCCTTGTCCTCAAGGATGTTGTTCGGGAACTGATCGCCCATCTCTTCAAGATCTTCCCACGTGGCTTCTTCAGATGGAAATTCTTTCTAGTCAACTAGGACTTCCCAACGATAGCGTCCTGCTCTCTTTACCTTACGGTACTCAATCGCTCGTTTTGGTTGAACTATGACCCTACCATCGGTTGCGATTGCAGGTAACTCCTCACAATACTTTTGCGCTTCTCCCAAACTTCTCTTGGGTTGTGAGACATGGATAACTGGGTGAATTTGCGAACTTTTGGGTAACTCTAGGCGATATGCTACCTGACCAATGCGCTTCAGAATCTGATAAGGCCCGTAATAGCGAACGCCTAATTTAGTGGCGGCTCTTTGTGCTGTTGTGCGCTGTCTGAATGGTCGTAGCTTTAGGTAGACATATTCACCTGGTGCAAAATTTTCCTCACGCCTTTTTCCATCTGCGAAGGCTTTGGTTCGGTTAATTGAGCCTTCGAGATTTTTCTTCAGCTCACGTAACATCAAATCTCGTTCCTCTAGTTTTCGACCAACCTCATCATTGACCGTACTCCTCTCCGAATAATTGATCAGCGTTGGGGGTTTTCGCCCGTATACCAACTCAAATGGCGTCATCTTGGTCGACTCGTGGTAAGTGGTGTTGTACCAATACTCAGCCCAGGGTAAAAAGTTTTCCCACCGCTTTGGAAATTGATGGACGTAGCACCTCAAATACTGCTCAATGGTTCGGTTGGTTACCTCAGTTTGTCCGTCTGTCTGTGGGTGGTAGGCTGAGCTCATAGATAATTTAGTCCCTTGCAACTTGAAGAATTCAGACCAAAAGCTGCTCATAAAAATCCGGTCTCGATCAGAGACGATGGATCGTGGTGCTCCATGCAGTTTCATTACATACTCCACAAATAACCTGGCAATTGACTTTGCGGTGTAAGGGTGGGTAATGGCTATGAAGTGAGCATACTTCGTGAGACGATCCACCACAACCATAACATCGTAAAATCCATAAGAATTTGGTAACCCCTCGATGAAATCCATAGTAATGTCCTCCCAGATTGCCTCGGGTACTGGTAGCGGTTGCAATAGCCCACTCGGTCGTCGTGAGTCAGACTTAGTGCGCTGGCAATCATCGCATCGTGCTATGTAGTCTCGGATAGTACTCTGTTGTCCGGGCCAGAAGAAAGTGTTTGCTATTCTCATCCACGTGCGATAGATACCC